TGGGAGTCTTCTGAACTCCACCTCAGCATAAACAACAATATTCGAATTTTGAACACAAATGTCATGTCAAACTGTGCTTCTAAACTTACGCTGTGCGTCACGAAAAGCATCTCCAACAGGACATTGAAGACTTTTATCAACAGCTGCGTTCCCTCTTTATTGAAGATCAGTTGGCCAGAATGAATTAGCGACAAGAAACTATGGTTGGGAACAAACCAACGAAGAGCTGATCGTTCAACAAATATGTAGGAGAAAATGTAGATGGATTGGTCATACTCTGAGGAGACCGTTGGGTGACATAGTGAGTAATGCAGGCCATTGCTCGAGTGGAACGACGAGTTGGGTGGGCATAGGTGGGAGATTGACATGGAGGAGATCGTGGGGCGAGTAGGAAATGAGAGATTATGGGCCCAGTTGAAGAGGACGGCAGAGAATAGAACAAGGTGGAGACGTTCTGTTGACGCCCTATATTCCACTCGAGACCCATAGGAACAATTACAATAATAAATAACAGATTTAGTTACACTGATCTACTAAACGAAGGTGAAATATCTAAAGTCACCCGCCTAAAATATATGTAGTGCTTACATCGCAAATAAATAGACATTTCCTCACAATATTCCCATTAGTACTAGTTTTATTACCACTATTATTATTATTCTTTTGGAGTTACATTTAATTTGTACTTCTTGTTTCTTGACTGTGTGTTATCATTTCCTGTTTCACGTGAAACATGATTACCTTTAAGTTCTTCACTTATCAGTGAATTCTCGCCTGATGTTCATATTTGATGCAAATTAGCTCTGTTTCTTTTCTCTTGTATATTCGCTTCCTGGAAAGCAACTTCGACTGTTCAGCTCACAATTTAAAGTCTTCAGATGTAGAAGTCAGTGCTACTATTTGTTATAACAGCATAGTATTTCAAACAATTCCTTTGTTCTGCGTTACAGATAATAGAGCCTAGTGTACGTGTTTAGTCCACCCAAAAATAAACACCTTTTTCAATTCCAAATACATGAATTAAACTGTATAATTATGAAAAGCTGTTCATCCTAATGTGATGTTTTCTTTGAAGGACGGTGTTATTGCATCAATACCTAGTCACGGTGATAACTTTTCAGTCTCAGACTATAAAGCTAATACTGCTCATCGTTTGGAACAAATCTTCTCAGTACAAATATAAAGCCTTCTTTCTTAGTCTTTGTCAAAATTAAGTCAATTGGCGTAAATAAGATGTCGGACTGAATGTCAGAGTTTATGTCCAGCAGTGCTTCTCCTACTCCTGCACATAGCTAACAAGTCTGAGGTATAATGTGGAAATACTTGACCATTGGTCCTTCTTTAACATTTCACATGCATGATGGATCCCTCATGTAAGGTATGCAGAGGTTTAGCTTGTATTTTTAGGCATGTCAGTCGATGAGATTAGTCTGCACTGAATGAGATGGTTGGCATGTCTAGCGCATGCCTCTTGCCTCAACATCCTATTTCACCAGAGGTAGGATTTGTTTAGGAGACAGAGAGAAGTTGTCAGATCAGGACAATGTCTACCTGGTTGGAGTTTCCATGACAAACGAGATAAGTCATTCAGAGACCGTAGGTTATTTTTTGTCCAAAACAGTTTTCAGTTCTCTAATTCATCAATATCTTATCTTGTAATATTAATTCTTCCATTGTCTTCCAGAATTCTTAATCAACATATGGTATTAATTTCACTCCCTTGTTTTTATTACTTTTACAACCTGCTACTTAGTGTTCAAATGAGTAGTGTAACGAGTCTAACCGTTTTTTTGATAATACTACATCCGATAAGGTTAATGAATGCCTCTGGCATATAATACTGTACTGTATCACTGTGTTATTCATGAAATAAATAAATTAACATGAAACTTCACTCAACTAAAATTACTTATCACGGAAAATATACATTTGATCATAGGGAATAAGCAGACAGTTGCAGCGAAGAAAATTTCAAAGCTTCGTGCCTCTAAGCAGAAAGAGGAACCTGATACACGCTCTTTCCTCGAGGATTCGGAAGATATGCAGCGAGGAAGTGATTGAAAAAGAACTGCGTAATCTCCGAAAAACCCTGATGGAAAACGGTTTCCCGCCCAGGTTTACAGACAAGAATCTCAAATCTAAGAAGACTTCCGAACAAGTCCAATCCGTTCCAAAGAAAATACTTCTGCTTAATCTAGAATTCAAAGGTGATATTGAAACAGAAATCCTTCGTAAACGCCTCTCCAAATCGCTGAGGAAAACAGACTTCGCCTTGAGCCTACGACTGACGTTTTTCTGCAAGAAACTGTTCAACCAGAACGCGAAAGACAAGCTGTCGCATTGGGCCACCTCAACGTGCATATACCAGTTTACTTGCTCTTGTGGAGCTGAGTACATCGGCCGTACCATGCGCCGACTTGGAAAACGCACTCGTGAACACTACCCAGCCTGGCTAGTAAAAGGAGACCAAAAACGTGTATACAGTTCAGTGACAGAACATCTGGTCAACTCATGACATTCAGCGCCTTTCGAAAAATCCTTCAAAGTAATATACAAGATTCAATCAAACCTATCAAAGGGAGTCAAATCAAGACATCTGGGCATAGCTGAGACGTTAGCTATCCAAAAGTTCAAACCCACTCTTTGTATCGAAAAGAAATACGTCCAACCCCGGTCCCTGCCATGGCTATCATAAACAGGTAAAAAAATTTTAGTAATGCCCATCCCATCGCATTTCTTATCTAAACTTCCTGTTTATTCATGTTTTAAATATCAACCCCACCCACGATCAATGGTATCACACTCCACACTCCCAGGAATCCCAACATGCAAGAAAAAGTATGCCTATCTAGCAAAAAGCAACAATTTTCATGTCTTCTATTGTAAAGGTTTATAGAATATAAGATCAACTAGACTGTGAAGTAATGATCACGAAAACAAAATAACCTGAGATTGTATAGTACTGTGTATGTTGTTGTTGCTGTCCGGCTACATAAGTTTTATCTTTATTCAATATGTCTCACGGTAATAAAATCAGCTACTGTTAACTGTGCTTAACACTAGAACCTAATCTTCGATTGATTCTCAGTGGATTTTCGACCACCTTAATCGCGAATTCATTCATCACTGAGTGAGAGAAGTACACACTTGTTCCCGGAAAAATGTAAGATGATGTTACAGGATTGGACTACACCGACCCCTAGATTAGAAATAGGAAGTGAAGTGGTAGAGCACGTTGACCGCTTCACTTACTTGGGAAGTACCATCAGCCCCAACGGGTTGATCTCTGACGAAATCTCAGCACGGATACACACGGCTAGTTTCGCATACGCCAGTTTACGCCGTCTCTGGCGTAGACGTGATATCCGACTATCGACCAAAGGGCGTGTGTACTGCTCAACAGTCCGCTCCGTCCTCCTTTATGGTGAACTGCGAGACATGGCCATTGAAAGTGGAAGATACGAGAAGGCTAGCTATCTTTGATCATAAATGCCTGCGTTCTATCTCCCGTGTGAAGTGGTATAATAAGATGAGCAATATTGAGGTTAGGCGTCCAGCGAGTGCTAGGTAAGGAGGGGAAATCAGTCGACGAGACTATGAAATTACATCGACTGAGATAGTTAGGACATGTGCTACATATACCTAGTCATCGCCTTCCTCGACCGACGGGCAATGTTAGCTGATATAGGGTCAGGCTGGAAAAGAGCTAGCGGCGGTCAAACCAAAACATGTCACCAGTCAATGAAATCCACAACAGTTAGTCTAAGCCACATAGGAAGGTGTAGACTTCCTGGTTGGGGTCCTCGGGACGGTAAAAACCAATGGTTGGAAACGATAGGTGACATGGCTCAAAATCGTTCTCAATGCCTGGTGCAGATGCATCCACTCCTTGTGACTTATGATTTCCAATGAAACCGTTTTGTTCTCCGTTATTACCATTCGTCTGTCTCACACCTCTGTTTACTGTCTATATTATGCATTTCTCCTACTTTCTTCTCTTGCTGTGTGTGCTACATGGAGGGAGTGTGGCGACTTGAACTGCTGCACATATGTGCAAAGTTCTATGTCGAAAACAGACAGACAGATACTTGCTCTCTCTCAAATGTCAAGCGGTTTTCAAAAAGGGAGATCACGCAGGAGAAAGTGATTCGGGGATAACTCATTCTGATTCCTACACACTCACAAACACACAGAGAGAGAAAAAACAGACGAAATTGTGAAAAAAAAGTTGTTGATACGTCGTCTTATTAATTTTCTTTTTCTCCTCTTCAGTATAATTTGTTGAAACACATCATAGAAAAATTCACAGTGATAATAGTAGTAATTAATAAAAGTAGTGGTAATAATACTGGAATGCAAATAGCATATTAAAGTGAAGAATAATAATAAATAAGGGGAAGAGGACGAGCAGGAGCAAGAGTAATGCAGAAGTAGTAATAGAAGTAGTAGTAGTAGTAGTAGTATACATAATTTTCGGAAAGAATTTTAATCAAACTACAGTAAAACAATGAGATGGTAGGCAGTAGTCATGTTTTTGTACAATATGTATATATGTACAATAAATATATATGCATGTATAATGCCCTAGTAAGGAGATATCGAGACGTAGAAAACAAAAATAGCTGGAATATAATAAGGAGGGTAGTATTAGTTTTAGTAGTAGAAATAGTCATAATAATTCTGATAGAAAATCATTTTAACATCTTCTTGTGAAAGAAATTGGTAAATGGACAGGTGAAGGGCTACAGAGAGTCTCTTTTGACTGTTTTTTTTTAAAAATTTATTTTCCTTTTTTGCTCTACAAAATACATGGAAAGAAAGGCGACAGGGTATGCTTTCACCGATATCTATATTTACATTGGAATAACGTGAAGATTAAGAGTGAGTGAGTGAGTGAGTGAGTGAGTGAGTGAGTGAGTGAGTGAGTGAGTGAGTGAGTGAGTGAGTGAGTGAGTGAGTGAGTGAGTGAGTGAGTGAGTGAGTGAGTGAGTGAGTGAGTGAGTGAGTGAGTGAGTGAGTGAGTAGGTTAACAGATAAGAAGCCTAGTGCATAGAATATCCTGAAGAGATAATAAAAGGTAATGAGATCGAATGGTGTATTTTAATGTTATTTTTTCCTCCTCCTAGGCATCACAAATGATACAAAATATGCATTTACAATCATAAAGTATAAATATTAATAATAATAGTAATAATAATAATAGTGTGAGCCACATTTTCCTGAGTATACAAAATATCTAATATGTAGGCTTTGTCGCTGTTGAATACGATACTACTGAGGGGGTCACAGGGCAGTTAGTTATTAGAAAGAAGCACAATAAACAAAACAAGTGTATGTATAAAACAGAAGTTGAAAACCAAAAAAATAAATAATAATAGTAATATCAAAAATGCAATTTGTATAAATTTGTTTTTTTTTGTTGTTTTTTTTAAACTTTTGAACAGAAATATTTCTCTAACCATATATGCTTTTTCTTTCTTTCTTTCTTTCTATCGTATATCAAAGTGTCCAAAACGCGAGAATCGATTAGTACTATTCGAGGTTTTTCGATTGTGTTCAGCATAATTGTTCCCTCCATCAACGCCATCCACACGATCCTCATCATCGTTATCTCCAATCTTTTTATGACCAGAGATTACCGAGCGTACTAGACAATTAGACGGTAGACCTGAATCTGTTGAGATTCCTTCACAGACACTGGGAAAACGACTAGATGAATAAGGATTTGATGAAACAGTGTAACTTTCAGTACCACAGTTCAATAAATGAGCATCAGACTGATTTGTATCGATTGAATTTAAAAGGCAAGGATCACCAGGACGTGGACAATTATGACTGGAGTTGAAATAAACACCTGAAGATGAATAAGGCATCGTGTTGTCATTATTATTATTATTATTATTCACCGTCGATGATGTCCTTGTTGTTGTTGTGTGTTGAATATCAGATTGTAAATATGAAGCACCAAAACGACCAGTGTTCACATTAGCATTACTTCGACAAGCTTCTCTGTCACTAGAGGTATTCTCATTTTGCGGTAAATTCATCATAAACGGTGATGGATTTTGCCAGACAGACTGAGAAAAGAATTCTGGAGTTGGCAGGTTAATTTTCACTTCCATTGAATCAGTTGGTTTTAAGGAGTCTTGTAAAATACCAGGTATATTAAATCCCATATGACCAGCACGAAAACCTTCAACAAATATACCAGGGAATTCAACTTGTTGCCTGCTTGTTATGGGTTTCGGTTTTTCTCTGCGTAAACGACCTAACGGTGGACTATTCGATCGACTATGATCAGATGAAGTGTCATCGTGAAAATTCATCTGGTCAAACATTTCATCCAGTTTAAATATCATCTGGTTGTTATCATAATTAGTATCCTTATGATTCCTGCTGCTGCTGCTGCTATTGCTGCTGTTAATACCATTATTATTATTACCAACATCCATTGGATGAATACTGCTACCAGATGTTGCATAATTCTCCATAAATGTACCTTCATAATTGTGAATATTATCATTACAGGAAACTTCATGACTATTGAAAACACTGTCAATTCCAAAAAATCGTGAACTACTTCGTTGACTAGATGGATTGAAATTATCTTTCAGAAGAAACATTAAAAGAAAAGAAAATAAATTAAAGAGTAATTCTTTCATGACATTATATATATTATATAGCAGAATCTTGATTTGTTAAGTCTGAAAAAGGTAAACACTACACTCTGTCTGCATCATCTTGATTGTCGACAATAAGTTATCATCTTATTGGTCAAGAAAAAAAAAAGATTTAAACGTATATATAACCTTGAATTCTTTATGAACAATGATGTAAAATAAACACTAGGAATGAATCACTAATCCATTGACTATTGAACGCTTGCTTATGTTTACTCAGAAACATACACATATAGAGACATACTGTTATAGCATCATTGTTATGTAATAGTAATAATAGTAATAATAATAACAATAATTAGTAATATCATTAGTAATATGTAAGTTAATTCTTGCTTTTCCCTGTAACACTTGAAGAAAAAACTGGAAATAATCGTACCCCAGCTTGAATATTATTCAATAATTAACGTGTTATTAATCATATTTACTGTTACATTATACTTTAAAGATAACTCATAATAACTGTAGAAAATTTAAACATTCTCTCAGTTGAAAGATTATTATTATTATTGTATTATAATTCCCTTGGGTTACGAGTGGAACAAACGGCTTGCATTACATATCTACACTTTGTTCCATTTTCTGCTGTCCTCTTCAGCTGGGTCCATAGTCTCTACTCTCCTCCTCATCGCCACACGATCTCCGCCATGTCAACCTCGAACTTATGTCCACCTAGTTGTTTCTCATTCGGGTTCCACTCGAGCGATGGCCTGCATTACTCACCACGTCACCCAACTGACGCCTCAAAGTATGCCCAATCCATCTACATTTTCTCCTACATATTTGTTGAACGATCAGCTCTTCGTTGGTTTGTTCCCAACCAGAGTTTCTTGTTGCTAATCCATTCTGGCCAACCGATCTTCAATAAAAAGGGGACGCAGCTGTTGATAAAAGTTTTCAATGGCCTGTTGGAAATGCATTCCGTGACGCACAGTGTAAGTTTAGAAGCACAATTTGACTTAACAATTGTGTTGAAAATTCGAATCTTGTTGTTTATGCAGAAGCAGAGTTCAGAAGATTCCCAAACTGACTTCAGATTGATGAATGTTACCTCACCTTTCTTATCCGGAGTGGCTTTGACATCTTCATTCATTCCGACTACCTGTGGTTGAAACAATTTTTCATATCTAGATATGTGAAGGAAGTGACCGCTGTTAAATCTCTCACTTTGATGTCTATTGGAGCTGGTTGTTGTATTTGTCGCTGTTTCTTGATTATCTTCATCACCATTTTCTCTATGTTCACTTGAAATCCTGTCTTCGCTGCTGGCCAGCCAGCCTCTACTGCCATTTTGTTGGTTTCCACCTACAAGCATTTGAGTTTGTGTGGTATTGAGCCTAAATCATCCACACACATGAAATCCAGAACTTCTAGAGTCTTCTTATCTGTTAGTGTAGCGTATTCCTGTCTTCTCGCTCCTCACGCACAGTCTGATGAATAATGCATTTCGTCACAATTAAGAATATTATTGGTGATAATAGGCAGTCGGTTTTGTCTTACTCTTGTATTCACTTCAGACACCTCTCTGAGTTTCCAAACAAAGACTGATTAACTGTTACTACTGTAGAGGGAAAGGAAAGTGACCAGCGATATCAATATCTTCTAATAAATGTCCTGAATAACTAAAATGACAAGGTTACTCCAGATCAGGCCTCAACTAATAAAGCCGTTTATGTAAAATAAAAACAAGCTTTTCAAAGTTTTTCTCATGTAAAAAAATGATTGCACTACTGCCTTATCGATTGTCTACAACAGTAACACCCATATTGTTAGATGTTTGAAGGAAACTGACAGCAAGCCTTCGATCTAGGTTTCGTGCTTGTTACCAGTCGTCAGTAAGGCCTATATCCGCAATCTTCACTGACAGAATTCAGTCTCTACCAACATCTAGGACTAGACAAATGACACATTAGTTATTACCTGACATCCAATCAAACTATTCATTACAATCCCTAGAGAGGGTCAGTCGCGAGCCCGATCACAGCACCGAGTAACTGAGGTTCGAATCTTAGAAGGGATATGAGTTCCTCCAAAGTTGCAGATGATTGGTGAAGTGTCAACAAGCATGAAATTTAGGTCAGACGGGGCTTCCTGCTGATCGCCCATCTAAAATAACAATTCAGAATGCACCATGATAGCGACCCACCCAGCACATGATGGCTACACTGAAAAGTTCCTCCCTGATCGAATTCAGTCGACATCAACACCAAAGACTAGACACACTTGACATTCGTTACTGCCTATTGTCGAATCGAGGTACACATCTCTGCATGGTGGGGCTAAACAAAAGGAAAAACTGAGGCAAATGAGAAAGTTATGAGAAGTAAAACTGGAACAGACCAACGGAAAATAAGGGAAACATCAATTAATTATCAAGCCAGAGACTAACACTGACTGTGTATTTCTCTACCAAATGCATCCTTCAATTGAAAAAGAAACGTTTAAAAGACGATAGCTGATGTAACTACGCTAGATAGACTTTAAGTTACACTAACACACACACATATAGAAACATACGCCCACACACCTTTAATATATCTTGTGATTACTGCCATTGTTTTGCTCTATTCTCGTTTTAGGCCTTTCTTGCATTATCTTTTTTTTTAAATTATTTATCTTTTTTCTGGTTGATGTCACTGTGTAAAACTAGACAAAGTGTAGTGGTTTAACTACTTTTAGTAAGTAGTAGTATGCACAGAACCCATACACACGCGCATACCATACCAGAGCATATACTACATACAACACATCAGACAGCGTTCGTTACACCGTGAAAGACATCAGGTGATACAATGAAATATCTGACATTACTATTATTATTATTAATTTTATTTTCAAATGATACGTCATACATTTTATGAAAGTAATAAATCAAAATGAAACAGTAATAATACACATTGTACGTAAAATGTGTCAATGAATTAATGACTTCGTTATTTCTGTAATTCTTGAAAAATATAAGGGGGGAGTAGCATAACAACGATAGTAATGAGGTGGAGGAGAGGGAGTAATTAAAGACACAAAATGCTGACAACACAAGTTTATTTCATTTCACCTAGAAGTGAGATAAACATCTGCGCAATGCAACACCACGCACACGCACACATGTTGATCATGACGATGGTCATGACGATGAGTAGAATATGATGTACACGAAGGAGAGTACACGAAAAACACACTTACAGGACTGACTGACTGACCTGACTGACTTCGTATGGATATGCTTGAAAGGAAGTAATACACTAAGAATTTTATAGTCCTGTTATATTACCACCCCCACCATGCGCACCTGAAACGGTGTATATCGAGTAGGCGCGAAAGATACGATATATTATTCAGTACTTGTATTTCTACCACCCACCCACCCCCACAACAATAACCTACCAGCATTAGTAGTCGAGGTTTCGCTCAGAACTATTGCGGGGGAGGAGAGCAAACTATGTGTGACGTAAGCGCATTGCTTATTTGTAATCATCTCTCTTTTTCTTACTTTTGTTGCTGGCATACCCCCTACGGAATTTGCCCTCTCTAATAGAATGATTGATGTGTCAGAAATACATCAAAAAAAGAAACGATCCACCTGCTTAAATGCACATTAAATGTGTTCTGCAGCCCCACCTACTACTACCCACCATCTTCCCCTCTCTCTCACTCTCTCACCTTGTCTGTCTACCATTGTATCAAATTTCAACAGCTTACAAATGTTCAGTGGAAATATTTTTGAAAAAAAATAACGCGGTAAGCTTGAAAATAACCGTTACAAAACGAAAAAATAAAAATAAGAGAAACAAGGCTGAAAACCTAAATCCAGGTCATGAATAAAATAGCGACAACACCAGTGAAATGTCGTAAATATTACAAAAGGTGAGTGAATAACTGACTGACTGGCTAACTGAATGAATGAATGAATGAGAGCGAAAAACCTCATGAATAATTAATTAATGCAGAAAAAATTAACATTTGGTTGGCATAAAACATTTATTTCTGGGACTAACTGGTAAAAATTAGTGTAATTTTTTCAGTTTTGAACAAAACTAATCTAGTTGATGAGTTATGAAGACTAAAGCCAAGAGAGAAAAGGAATTAGAAATTAGAAACTAAAGTTTATAGAAAATCAATCCACACAGATCAAATACTCGCTTACAACGGTAACAACCTAACAGTAAACAGAAAGAGTTGCATACAAACACTATTCAAGAGAGCTAAGACTCATTGCATGAGTCCTGCCTTAAGGAAAATTGAAGAAAAATATCTCATGGACATTTTCTCAAAGAATATATTTCCATCAAACTTCACCAAAAGACATATACCCCCAAATCAGTCAACCAAATCAAAGACCCCTAAGGAAAACACAAAGAAAATCGCCCCACTATATATAAAAGACATCCCAGAAATTACTGCAAGACTCTTCAAACCTTAAGGAATTGATGTCGCACATAGACCAACAAAATAACTTCACTCTGTGTCAACCAAAAGATTCAACAGTTAAAAAAGATAAAACCAACATCATCTACAAAATAAATTGCAACGACTGTGAAAAACACTATATTGGCCAAAGTAGACGCCCTCTTTCGTCTTCGTATCCATGAACACAAACTAGCCGTCAAAAGACATGATAATCCACTCACTCATATTGCTGTATACAGGCAACCATGGACATAATTTCGACTGGGACAACGTTCAAATATTAAGAAGAGGAAACATCAAGAACGCCAGAGAACTTTTAGAAGCCTGATTTTCCAGTGAATCGGCAATTAACAGACATATTGACATAGATAAAATTTACCAATCCATAAGAGGAAAATCTCACACACAAAAAGTCAAACTTCAGGTCAAAGAAACAATCAGTTCCAATACAGGTAGCCTAGAGAGTGTGCAAACACACGGAAACAACCAATCAGGTTCAAGGTCGCCAGGAGAGATGACTAATAAGCTTGTGGAGA